TATTAATTACCAGCTAATTGCTCTATTGTTTTCAACAATGCCCTGGAGCATAAATTGTTCTGCAGACTAATCTAATCAAATTCAAACACTTTTGATGGCTAGTTCCTGAGGTCAGTTTTTGAAATTTGTTTGGATCCCAGGAGGGCTACTCCCAGTTATCTCTTTACTCAATTCTCTTCTGCAAACTAGTCAGCCTCCAGGTTAGCCTGTATATTCAATAAATCTATCAAACTCTTCCCACTTGCCTTTAATTACAACCTCCACTCTTTTTGAGAGTGCCCTTAGGCTTGAACTTCTCGACTCTGTTGCAAATGACATCTGTTTCCCTGAGAAGATACACAGCTTATTCTCCTAGGCCAGATCTCTGATACATTGCTCTGGAGCTGGATATGAGGATAGTAGTGTGCTTATCTCTGAGTAACATTGCCACTTTAGGAGCTGAGCACAAGGTCTGAGCCTCACGTTTTCTTGGCTTGCCTCTCCAAGCTTGGAACTACTTACTGCCTTACAATCACAATTATAAAAAAACCACAATTGCCTTACAAGGGCAATTAGGGCCCTAGTATTCTCAGCAATACTACACTGAAGGTGGATCCTCTGTCTCAACAATGGAGACTAAGTAAAAGGAGCCCCCACCTCTCAGCCAGAATTGCCTAGAATTTAGATGAAACAATTGGTAGCTGCCGGTACAATAAGAAATGCTGAGGTCCTGCCCCTCCCAGGAAGATAACCCTCTAACAGGGAGGTGGAAGAGAGTGTGCCCTAGGCTCTGGGCTACACCAGTCCAGAGTGGAGCTGGGAAGGGAGCTAAAGAGAAGTTGTGGTTTAAATATTTAAGGCTCTTGCTGTTCTTGGGGAATTTTAGCATTTTTTTTTAATTACACGTTTCATAATCTGCTGTATGCCCTTAGAACCACTTTGAAAGACTTTAAATATTTGGATTTTTATCCTTAATAATTTTTACCAGTTTCACTGGTAAGTAGATCCACAGAGCTCCTCATGGTATCAAGTTGAAAGTCTGTCTACCTCCCTACATTTAGATTATAAATCAGTATTTTACACCTAGGCCTTTTTTATGGTCTGCTTATTTCAAGTCTCAGTATGCTCCCACCTTTACTTAATGGAAGCTTTCCTTTGATCTATGATCTCTAGTTTTATTTGACCTGTGCCATATTACCCTTTCATCCCACTCTTAGCTTTGGAATCCAAACAAAAACAGTGTAGTGAATGTAAACAGAATTTTATTTGAAATGCATTTTTATTTCTTAATCTTTTTTGTGTGTAGGGGAGTTAGGTCTACTTTATTAATAAAGAGCTCAGATCCTTAAAGAGAGAAATGCTGAATAGATTCCACTGAAGACAGGGAAAAAATAGTAAAATCAAAAAAGAGTCCAAAGCAAAAACAATCATCCCTAATTCATATTACAGTCTAATTATTAGGTAAAGGTTTGTGTATGACTTTTTTTTTTAATTTGGAAGCTTTTTTCTTTTTCAATTACAGTTGGCATTCAATATTTTATATTAGTTTCAGATATAGAGCATAGTGATGAGACATTTATACAATTTATGAAGTGATCCCCCTGATTAATCTAGTACCCACCTGGCACCATACATAGTTATACAATATTATTGACTGTGTTCCCTATCCTATACTTTACATCCCCTTTACTATTTTGTAATTACCAATTTGCACTTCTTAATTCCTTCACCTTTTTCACTCAGCCCCCCAACCCCTTCCCATCTGGCAACCATCAGTTTCTTCTCTGTATCTATGAGTCTCTTTCTGTTTTGTTTATTCACTTATCTTGTTATTTAGACTTCACATGTAAGTGAAACCATATGGTATTTGTCTTTCTCTGTCTAACTTATTTCACTTACAGTAATACCATGTAGGTCCATCCATGTTGTTAAAAATGGTAAGATTTCATTTTTTGCTGAGTAATATTCCATTCTTAATCTTTTAAAATCTTATTTTCCATGAAAATATAAAATATTTTCATCCACTTCCTATGGTTCGATATAGTGCTATGAAATTCAACTTTCCATCAAATTAACTTGCAAATGTTATTTTAATAATGCTAATATTTTAATAATGCTAAAAATCATCCTGTATTTAGATCTCAAATCATCAATTCCAACCTACATTTTATTATAGACCAATATTCTTTGCCAGAGCTGAAGAAGGCAAGGAAGGGCTGTGGAAAAGGAATGTGAGCCACAGCAGGGGCTCTCAATGAGGAAAGGGTCGGTAGGACTCATGGGGAGAGTGAGTAGTAGAAACTTCTGGTTGTCCTTAGATTGACAGTAAGAAACACTGTTTGATTGTTATTTGGGTTGATTTCAAGGGAATCCACTTCTAGGCTTCAGCTGAAACAAACAAAAAGACTGCTTTTGCTTGTTGCCAACCCACTTTCCATTTTAATTTGAAAATCTCAACTGAGATTATTGCAATAAACAGTTTCATAGCTTCTACTTTTACCCCTCTCTCTTCACTTGGTACTCAATAGCAGTACTTCTCAGCTTTAATATGCCAGAACTTTATGAAGATTTACTTTGTATTTTGGCTCTGACCTAAATAAATCTATTATCAAAATATACAGATGGAATTTAGTGCATTGATGTCAGCACAGAATTGATTCACTCTCCTTTCCATAGATTAGAGGAGAATAGCTTTGAACTGAGCACAAAAGGATGTTCTCTCATTTTTGTATTGTTCTTATCTTTCAAAAATGAGAGAAGTAAGGTGAAGTAAGAATAATTGAGGTGGAAGTAGATATTAAGCAGCCATATGTCCAAGATATCAGCCTGAATTCTGGAAAAAAAACCTTTGATAACCCAAACTATTATGCTTCTCAACTTTCTGATGGCCAGGATATCCAATACCAAAGCTTGACATGAGCTTTCCATTGGAGCATAGAGAAGAGGCATGGGTGAAGGAACTACAAGATTCCAAAGAAATTAAACAGTTACTGGAGTCCAAGATAGGTAAGTAATTGTTCATTGATATTAGAGAAGAAAGAAAAGAAAAATTAAACCTTAATCGGGGTAAAAAGTTTTGGATTCTATTTAGGAATTTCTATATTCCTACTGGTACTTTAATATAACCCTTCCTTTTTCCCTCATGTTCTTTTTTTTCTGTGGGACATAGTGACATATGCAGCTTCTGTTTCTTCTCCCAGGTTTTGAGATCGGGATAGAAAATGAAGAAGATACTTCAAAACAGAAAAAAATGGAAAATATGTACCCGTTTCTTGTTACTTTAGAGGGGAATGCTCTCCACGGTCCCATTTTGCCAAAAGACTATGTACAGTTAGAAAATCAATGGGAAAACCCCCCAGAGGATTTACAGACAGATTTAACAAAACTTGTAGATCATCAGAACCCCTCTGCAGGAGAGACAGCTGAAAGCTCCAGCTTGGAAGAACCTCTCAACCCTAGACCCCATAAGAAAAAAAGTCCAGGAGACAAACCTCATCGATGTTCTCAGTGTGGGAAATGTTTTGCCCGGAAGTCACAACTTACAGGGCACCAGAGAATTCATTCAGGAGAGGAACCTCATAAATGTCCTGAATGTGGAAAAAGATTTCTTCGTAGTTCAGACCTCTATAGACACCAACGACTTCATACAGGGGAGAGGCCCTATGAATGCACTGTGTGTAAAAAGCGATTCACTCGGCGGTCACACCTTATAGGGCACCAGAGAACCCATTCTGAAGAAGAGACATATAAATGCCTTGAGTGTGGGAAAAGCTTTTGTCATGGATCAAGTCTTAAAAGACATCTGAAAACTCATTCGGGTGAAAAACCTCATAGATGTCACAACTGTGGGAAAAGTTTTAGTAGACTGACAGCTCTTACTTTGCACCAGCGAACTCACACTGAAGAGAGACCGTTTAAATGTAATTATTGTGGGAAAAGCTTTAGACAGCGACCAAGCCTTGTTATTCATTTAAGAATTCATACAGGGGAGAAGCCATACAAGTGCAGTCATTGTTCTAAAAGCTTCAGACAGAGAGCAGGCCTTATTATGCACCAAGTCACTCACTTTAGAGGACTTCTTTAAGAATTATTATAGGAAACAGGTCCTACAGAAATTGACACTAACTCAAAAACAAATCTTAACCTGTAGCAGCAGTCTGTCTTGGAAGAATCTTTTTTTGAGCTTATAAGAGTAACTTTTTTTTTTTTTTTTACTATTTTAAAAATCCATCTCCCAAGGCATATGAATTCTAGAGTATCCACCTATTCTTGTAACTTTCCTAGATTTGATTTATATTGTCTGTACAACTTTTTTTTATGACAAGGAAAATTTTTATGTCCCAAGCCAACCATATCAGATGTAAGCATAAAGCATATAGATAGGGTCAATATAATAGATAACCATGTCTATCTGACATATCTATTATAGCAGCACCATAATTATCTGTTGTCATAAAGGTGATTATATTAGTTCAAAGCTTTATATGTGTCCCAAGTTGCAAGAAAGGAGACAGTGTATTTTGTCAAATAATAAAAATGTGTCAGGAACACATGAATAAAGAGGATTTCATTTGCCTCATAAGAACTGGGTTATTTCCATTGACAATTTTTATGTTTAAGGAAATTAAGATTTTTTTTTAATTAAGATTTTAACCTTTAATTTTGAATTCTGCAAAGTTTGCTAGTCTGCTTAGTTGGCAGCCTGGGGTGATGCTGTTTAGAGCTATTAATTTGATTTCTTTTGTTCAAAGAATAAGTAAGTTCTATGTGGGAGAATCCATTTGATAGTTGAAGTCATACAAATTGAACCTAATTTAATTTAGATTGACTGAGGAGCCAGTGCCCAGTGCTTTTTACTCTCCTTTACTATTCAGCTATATGTCTCTCAGTGCTTTTTAAATTTTGCTCATTCTTTAATTCATAGCCTCCCAAAGTATGTGTCATAGAACACTTAGTTCTATAATATATTTTGAAAATAAGTTTGGGAATCCCTTCCTGCTGTTTCTCTTTTCTGTATTCACAGTGCACATCAGCATATGAGAATCTCTGACAGGTCCTTCAGTAAAGACAGAAAAAGCACCTCTTTTTTCTCAATGTTTTGCAAACCTATTTGACCCCAGAACCCTTTTTCGTGTGTACCCAGTAACAACCCACAGAACTAGTATTCTGAAAATATTCCTTGGAATGTATTACCTTTAACAAATATTTCTATAGCTATCAGTATAGTCTTGTTGCTTTTAAGCCTAGTTATCTCCAGTCGTTTCAAGGGTGTTATGAAAAATTCTTTACACATATATGTTTTTATGTAATACACACTCAAACATACATACATATCATTTTAAAGAGGTGAGGGTCACTAATCCAGATAATTTTTAAGTTGCTCAGTGATTCACATCCTCTTTGAATTTTACTTATAATCACATACACACATTGCTACTTATATAAATTGTTCTTATATAATCATGATAATGACTCAAGTTTCTGTAGCAGGGGAAGAACTCTTTGTCAGTTAAAGCTGTTAATACATGAAAACATTCATTCAGCCTAGTTCCTTGTTATAAGATATAACAAATAGGATATTCAAATATTTTCCCTTTATGAAGATACCAGTCATCCTTTCCTTAAACTAGAATTAGGGGAAGTGTATTTTTTCTATTTCATTGAAGTTCTTGGAAGTCATATTTATTATAAGTATTTTTGGGGTATCTACTATATGCCTAACTAGTCCTGTTATAGGCTTAATGGAAACTATAGTAAAGAAATTAATTCATGGGTCAGGTTCATAAAGAGTTTATAATAATTTTAGTTAAGAGTTGGGAAACAAAGGGAGAACAATGCAAGAGAGTTTGTGTTAAGTGCCAAATCATATCAAGTGCTAGAGCCAGGATATATCTTTAATTCTTGTTGTCCCAGTCCCTGTATGATGCTGCTTATAAGTGTAGGGTTAAAATTGAAATCTTAGTAGCAATAAAATGTAATGGGGGAGGAGTCGGAATGTAGAGATGAAAAATACCGAATGTAATGGCTTCTCTTTTCTCTTGTGGAATTGCATCCCAACCAGAATAGTGCCTTAGAATGGATGTTCCCAACTGCTCTGTATCTATGCAATATTTTAATAAAGTGGAAATATATATGCTTTTTTCTGCTTCAATCGCACTGTTTGCACAACTTAGAGCTGCTTCCATGAGCAGTGGCAATAGCACCACAATTGACTCCTGCCCCCAGCCTAAGCTGGAATCACTTTACTCTCTGTAACCATGGTGCTGGGTTTATGCATCATTTTTAATACAGTCATTTTTAGCTAATAGGATTAGTTGCAATCATAATATGAGCTGCATCCTCCCCCTCATCTATATCATAAACACACATGACTGGATTTTACAAGGTAGACAACATTCATTATTCATTTCTTTGTTACAGTGCCCTGTATATAATAAGCACTAATAAATATTTGTGTCAGTGAATCAAGAAATATGTGAAATAGTTCTTGGAAAAAGACTATAGTTAGAACATTGTGTGAATGTGCCTAATTATACTTCAAAAAGACATAAGGGCAAAGTACAATGCCTACCTCCTAAATACTATGAAGGGCAAAAACAGTACCCACCTTGTAAGAACTATAAAGATTAAGTGAAATATATTTTGTTCAGTCCCTACACAGTATAAGCTTTCAATAAATATCCATTCCAGCATGTTGTATTTTAATCCTTAAATGCTTATGGATTTTCCTCTAAATATGTCTTTGGTCACATCCCACAGTTTTTATATATGTTTGCATTAATCAGGATTCTCCAGACAAATAGAACCAATATATATATTCTATTACAAACTGGAGAAAAAGGAAAGCCAATAGTATACTTCAGTCTGAATCCAAAGACCCGAGAACCAGGGGAGCTGGTATTATAGTAGAACTCTTTGTCTGGGACCAAAGGCCTGAGACCTGGGAGGCCATGGATATAAGTCCTGAAATCCCAAAGCCTGAGAACCAGGAACTCACATGTCTAAGGGCAAGAAAAGACAAAGTTCCTAGCACAAGAAGAGTGGGAATTAATTAATTTTTCCTCTGCTTTTTTATTCTATTCAGGCCTTCAGAGATTGGATGATGCCCACGTACATTGCTGAGGGCAGATCTCTATACTCAGTCTACTGAGTCGAATGCTATTTTTTTCTGGAAACACCCTCACAGACACATCTAGTAATATTTTACCAGCTATCTGGGATTTTCTTAGCCCAGTCAAGTTGGTATGTAAAATTAACCATCACAATGTCATTATTGATCATTTCAAAATTGTTTGTTACTACAGTTTACATTAATACTTCCTCTTTAACCCGAGCTATACAATATTGCCATTTTCTTCTTAATTTTTGTTTTTGCTGCATTGTGATTAGAAAATGAGGTTCATTCCAGTTTTGCTTCTAAAGTTCATTTAGTTTAAGACATATATTTGATAAAATTTGGTAAGTATCCTAAAGACCTTAGAAAATAAAGATTATAAGGCACAAATTTAGAATACAGTCTTGGACCTCTCAATTACTTTAATGTCTTTAGGAGTATCCTTGGTGCTTGTGAAGTGGCAGTGACACAGAGTAGATTGCTTTGCTCCCCATTCTGAATGCCTGCATTCTTGTAGTCTCCATTTCCTTTTGAAGATTATTTTGGACACATTTTATGGATGTCTTATAGCAGTTGTTAATAACTGCCCAACTATCAAAGTTGGCAGTAAGGAAGAAAAAAATGGCACAGATGATAGAGGCTCTGTTCATCCCTCTGGTGACCAAATCAAAGTTATGACAGAAACAAGGAGAAAACAGTAAGGAAAATCACCTGGGATCTAGATGAACAAGCCATACAACTAGGGAGAAATCTAAGAAATCACCCTGCAACAGGAAGAGGTAGGATGGTGCAAGGACGCGAGGCTGACCGGTCCGAGTGGCTAAGTGGAATAGAGGTCATAGTAGTGGCTGCCGGCAGTTGCACATGCCTCTTAAAGGGGCCGTGTCTGCGAGCAGACTTTCACGGTGACAGGCCTGATCGCTCTGAGCACCAGTGCCAGTTTGGCTGCGCAGAGGGCACCAGGGGTTTACAAGCAGACACTGAGTAGTTGGCTTGAGAGCCAAGGCGAGACTCTCTCTGTACAGAAGTGCCGGCGGTATCCATTGTTCCTCCACTGAGCCCTCCCTCCTCCCAGTGCACAGACGCAATGCCACCATAGCAGAGACATCATCAAACTGGATAACAGGTTGATCCACCCAGAGGATTCCCTGAAACTCTCCACCTCCCCCAACTCGTGGCCCCATCCAAGCCACATCCAGGTGTGTCCTCGCTAAGGTGCCTCTTCCTGAGCAGCGCCTAGACTCACACTGGTGGCAGCTGGCATCGGTTTTTGGTGTGGTCTTTTGAGGCAACTATAAGCACAGCATCTGTGGATTGCTTGCTGAATCTTAACAGGCGGCCCCAGAGGGGCACAGGCTGGGGCTAAACTTGGCCTGAAGCTGAAAACCTCTCAGGACTGTGTCACCGGCAACCGACTTCACAAAACCACGCTAATAAGACTGGGAGACTTAGGAGCTTTGCTTAGTACATAGAACCTAGAGGAGCACAGGCTGGGGCTAAATTTGGCCTGCAGCTGAACCCCTCTCAGGACTGTGCTACTGGACACGTAGTACAGAAATCCACACTAATAAGACCAGGAGACTTAGGAGCTTTGCTTGGTACATAGAAACAGACACAGAAAGGCAGCTAAAATGGGAAGACAAAGAAGCAGAAACCATATAAGAGAACAGAACAGAGATCTAGAAATAATGGAGTCAAGCAATCTAACAGATGCAGAGTTCAAAACGCTGGTTATAAAGATGCTCAATGAACTTATGAGAAGGGTAGGTGAATTTAGAGAGAACTTCAACAAAGAGATAAAAAACAAAAATGGAAATGAAAATTATAAAAGGGAACCAGTCAGAAATTAACACATCTGACATGAGAAGTACATTAAATGGAATAAACAAAGTGAATAAAGAAGAGGATCAAATGACCTATACAGAGGATGGGAAAGCCAAGGACACTCAATCAGAATGGCAAAAAAAAAAAGGAAGAAGAAGCCAAGACTATAATGATGATTTAAGCAGCCTATGGGACACTATTAAGTGTAAAAATATTTATGTCATAGGGGTACTGGGGAAAAAACCAAGACATTGAAGAGCTATTTGAAGAAATAATGATAGAAAACTTCCCCTACCTAGTGAAGAAAATAGACATAAAGCCCCAGGAAGCTGAGTCCCCAAAACCAGGAACCCAAAGAGGTATAATTAAAATGCCAAAGGTTAAATACAAAGAAAGAATATTAAAAGCAGCAAGAGAAAACAAATAATTACTTATAAGAGAACACCCATAAGACTGGCAGCTAATTTCTTAAAAGAAACTCTGCAGCACAGAAGGACTTGGCACAAAATATTCGACAGTATGAAGACTCAGGGTATATAACCAAGAATAATTTTTCCAGTAAAGCTGTCATTTATAGTTGAAGGACAGATAAAGAGATTCTCAGACAAAAATAAGCTAAAGGAATTTATCATAACCAAGCCAGTATTACAGGAAATGCTGGAGGGACTTCTTTAAGAAGAAAAAAACATGTATCAAAAACAGAAAAGAATAAAGAATAGCAATAACTACATTCCTGTCAACAAGTACCTCAAATGGAAAAGAATTAAGTGTTCCAACCAAAAGATAGAGTGGCTGAATGGATAAGAAATCAAGACCCCTACATATACTGCCTACAAGAGACTCACTTCAGAGTAAAAGACACACACACACTAAAAGGAAGGGGATGGAAAAAGAATTTACCTTGGTGGACCTAAATGGTATTACAGTGAATGAAATGGGTTGGGTAGAGAAAGACAAATATTGCGTGATTTCATGTACATGTGGAATCTAAAGAACAGAATCAGTAAGAACAAAAGTGGAAATAAACTCATAGATACAGAGAATATTTAGAGGGATACTAGATTTAGGGGGAACAAAAAAAACAGGCAAAGGGATTAAGAGGTACAAATGGATAGTTGCAGAAAAGACATGGAGATGTAGAGTGTAGCATGGAGAAGATGGTTAATAATGTAATAAATATGTAAGGGGGAAGAGGAGTGCTAGAGTTAGTGGGGTGATCACTTTGTGAGTTATGTGGATCTCTGATCACTATGCTATACAGCCAAAACTGGTATATTATTGTATGCCAATAATAATTGGGGAAAAAAAACCTCATTGAATTGTACAGTGTAAATACAAGCGACTAATTGTCTATTATATTTCTATAAAAATGGGAAAAAAATAGTTGGCAGTAAAGCAGGAATCTAAAGGACCTAGGAGAGACCTAGCTTCTGCACACCTGGCTGAGAAAGCTCTCTTGGGATTCCATATTGTTCTTCTTCCTGAAAGCAGAGAGAACCTGCCATGGATACTTTGAAGTTTTTGTAGCAGTGGTTCTGAATCAAAAGGGATTGTTTTATAGTGTGCTGAGGAAGTTGTCTAGGCTAAAGTCAAGGTAATCAGGGAAGATACAGGTGAATCAACCCCCAAGTGGCTCACCGTCAGTCACCATGACATTCTGAAGGGAAATATTATGAGCACCTCCAGGAAACAGCATGACCTTTCTTCCTGAAACCTTCACTCATTTCTAGACTATTCATATGAGCTGAATGTTCTTATAAAAAACCAAAGCCCACACTTAAGACTTGAGCAGCCTCTGCTTCTTTTCTAGTTTTCTGCAACAGATATGGAATTGATGAGAATGCAGCTTATCTCTTAGTCTCTCCTTAATATTAGTAATCTGTTTACTCAGCCCCCCGATTCCGGAATTTTAACTACTGGGATTGGGAGTGGTGGGTAGATTCTTTTCTCACCAGAATGATGTATAAGTTAGTCTCTATCCAGCCTTCTCCAACTTCAATTGTCAGATAGGACTTCTCAGACGTCTAACAATGCCTGAGTTCACATTTTTAAGAGTCCAAAGATCTTAAAATGTATCTTTCTTCTGAATGAGTGAAACCCATCTCAATCCCCAACGGACGTGATACACTGATTTTCAAAAACAAAATTTTATCTCCAATGATTACTTGGAAACCTGATTCATATATTAGAGAACCAGTTTA